TTTAGGGTTTAGGGGTCTACCTGTAACCCCAATTACCTACTGTCTAGTAGTCACTGCCCCTTAATAAATATGGCCCGTAAAACTATAGGTAATTTGGGTTACAGGTAAAGCCTGAAGCCCAAGTTTCACAAGTATTCCCCGAATTCAGTAACACTCATTCCCATAATTTCAGGCATGGAAACACCAGGCTCTTAGAGGATCTTATCTTTTGTCTTAAGTCCCAAGCTTTAAATCCTCAACGCCAAGTGCTAAACTCCGAGCCCTGAATCGTACATCCCAGGCCATGTGGTGACTCTTGAGGAAGTAGTACCTGCAATGCCCGCAAAACGCCCAATGTTCCTAAATTGTTGTCCATTCCCTCATTCCCTACAGCTACCCAGCAAGTTAACCCAACATATCCCCATACTCCCCCGATTGCCATTTCATTTTCCGTGTGATTCTCCACTATGTTATGCTTTGCCTTGAATATCTTAAACCTGAAGGTACATCAAACCCTTAGCCCGATTTCAACCCTATACAACCCTGATGACCCCTTTTTGAACCCTATATAAACTCTATACAACCCCTACAGCGCCTTATTTAACCCTTTTTTATAGTCCCAAGACAAACCTTATGTAACCCGAAGAAATCCTTATTCAACCCTACAAAAAACTATGTAACCCTTATTGAACCCGTTACTACTATAAACCCTGTAGAACGCCTATATAGTCCCCCTTAAGTGGATAGAATATGGCTCTGGGCATATTATAATAGGATCCCCATATACCCCATATTCTATCTACTTGAAGGGGACTATAACCCCTTTGAATATGACAAAGATAGGCCGTCCAGCCAGAGCTACCGGATCAGCTCAAGGAGCCTCGTTCTCTCGAACCTTTGGGTTTAGGTTTTGGGGTTTAGGGAGTTTAGGATTGAGGGTTTGGGGTTTAGGGTTTAGGATTGAGAGTTTAGGGTTTGGGTTTGGGGCTTCCATAGGGATTTTGCTGGGGAAAGTTTGCAGATGCATTTTTTGCCTCCTCCCCTCAAGGTGTACCAGCTCTTTTATGTTAAGCATTTAGGAAAGCCTGCTTGTTCAAGAGCCTCTGAATTCGATAGACTTTCAGTTCTTTGTATTACTATGATTATTGTTACTACTATTATTAGTGTTAATATGGTTACTATTATGCGTCTAAGATGTTGGTTTTTGGGGCCTTTCGGGTATAGGAATCAGTCTGGCGGATCAACGGTGCAGCCATGAAGCATGGTGTTGTCATGTCTTCGGCTGCGGGCCCCTATGGATTCCTAGGAGCTCTGGTCATGGTGCCACAGGCATGAACATCCTTCACATGCAGATTAGGTGTCTTATTCAAATTCAAGGATGATATGGGAAGGTTAATTCAGCAACTCCATCAGGAATGCCCAGCGCACCATGCGGCAGAAAAAGGATCCCATGGGTTGCGCTAGCTGAAAGGTCTTAGGTCCAACACTTCCAACAAGCATGAGATCAGACGTGTTCCGTAATTTAGATTACGAAACTTCATACGGTTTGGGAAGCGTTCCGGAAGGCAAGGATCTTGCAAGATCTGGGAAGTGTAAAGCCAGAAGTGTCGAACACCTGCTCTGAGACTTATACTCTAGATTGCCACTCTCCACTGAGATCGGACTGTTGCCTGTGATTTATGCTTCGGCTTTGCAATCAGAACCCCAATACTTTGTCAGTAAGGCCTCTTTCTCCTCAAAGGGGCATTCCAATGGCCAAGCCTTGCTAAACAAGTGTTCCTTCTCGATCCTTATTCATTCAGTTTCAGCGGGAATGCCGCTCGGAAGACGGGTCCATGAAATATTTGCAAAAGGATGAACCTGTCTGAAGGCATGTGCTTCGGAGGAAGTTTTCTGGAGGATTAGTGGTTGAAAGTCTGGCTTGCGGAGTTAAGATCTATGCGAGTTTAGGACTTTAACTTTAATGAGATAAACAATCCGCCTTTAACAAATCCTGGTCCTCGCAGGAAGTCCAGGCAGCCGCCTCAGCGTGACATTCTATTGAGGTTCCCAAGAATGAGGGCTCCGTGTTTTGTTGCTGCAGTTTGACAAGGCATTATGTCATGTTGTTGGGGTAGACTTCTAAGGCCCCATTCTCAGAAGCTGCAGGATGTGGCAGGATTTGGCTTAGGTGCTGCAACAGTAGCTCCTTTGCGTGGGCATTCTTTGCTTGCTATCCAGGGCCCACGTTCTTTTGCACGTGTTACCGTCCGAGCTTCGGCAGACTCCCATTGTTTAAAATCGACATGTGTTGTCAATTGTCAAGTTCTGTAGAACATCGACCAGACTCCCTTACACCTTTAACCCTCTGTGGATAGAGGAAATCTTGCGGAGTACAATTAGAAACGTTTTCCCTGGCCTGGCTACTGTAGCGGAGGAATTTATCCCCTGGCAGAAAAATGCAATACTTATCTGATCTGTTCCAGACGGAGACCTGGTGGAGTCTATAGGGAAGAGGTTTTAGCAGGAACTTCACAAGGATGCGCTGGTGCGACAAATCTTCGCCTTGCTTCAGGAGGCTAGCCGAGCCACACACTGCAGTTGTGGTTGGAATCGTTTGTTTGGATTTGTTCTGAAGACAAAATTATTGAACCATTTCCCCCCCAGCGTCATAAATCAATGTTGAGAACGGGGTGCATGGTTGTTGCTTTCCATCTGAAGGTTCATTCAGTCACCTTGGTCAGGGACTAGTGGGCTAGGTCCGAGAGAACCCCCCTTATGCCGAGACAGCCCGATTCGTACCTCCTGTGGCAAAGATGCCCAAACCCTAAATCCTACAATCGTCCCAGACACAGTCCGCTGAGGTCTGAGGTTTCACCCGCCACATTGGGCGGTGTCTCAAAAAGCGCCCCCGAGATATTCTTCAGAGTTACCCCTCATCATCCCATTCTAATCCTTACATATCTCAAGGAACCCCGAGGGTATCAGGCTTCAAAAACTTCAGGCAGGGAGTTGGACTTCCGCCATCAATTCCTCAGCCCTAAGTTGGGGCCTTACATCCAAAGATCAAAGGCCCTTTGTGAGCAACCTTCCATTTGAGACGCCCGCAATATTTTCCGCGTGTCACAGAGACATTTTGAAACCACGCCAGCACCAGGTTGCCAAAGTATTGTAGCTTATTGGAGCTCCAGTGTAAACTCCTTAAGGGGGTATGTAGGAGATTATGGAAGGGGCTACAACAGGGGCTATCAAGGGGGCTACTAGGGGTTTAGATTATGACTCATTGCGGAGCATTCCGTGACTGATTGGCTTCGTTATCATCCAAGCATTTCCATCAAATAATGTTAATGTTTTTGTCCCTTCACTGGCTCAAGTAGGTCAGCCAAAACAGGGGCCCGTGGCTCGCACAGTCGAGTCTCCCAGGCTGTCATATTGTCCTCATTGTGCCAAAAACCTGAACTTACATCTCTGAATCTATGTGTCGAACCGTAGACCTTATAGTCTGAACTCCTCTCAAAAGCCTGGTGCTGGATTGCGGCGAACACCGCGCATGGCCGCCCAAGGCGAGTTTGAGACAGCGCGCTTCGAATTTTCAAAAAGCCAGCCTTGAGACCCTCTTCTGCAGGTCTCCACAGTTTACCTGGACTCTGGAAATCATTCCTTCTTTTGGGGTAGTGGCCTATCCTTTGTAATTAGGGTACAATTTAAACCCCAAAAGGTAGGACATCCGGCGTCAAGGTAGGGTTCAGGGAAGGTTTCAGACTACACCCTAAAGCGCCCCCACTAAGCCTCCGAAGCTCAGTGTGACTAACATGGAAACCTGCACAATCACCTATATGAGCTATAGTCTGAACTCCTTAAAGGGGGTTATATTGGGAATTATATAGGAGAGTATTGTGGGTTGTTTAATAGAATACTAGGAGTTTAGACTATAGCTCATATGTACTTTTTTTGGGAGTTCCCATAAAATACGGATTGTAGTATTATGGGGTCTATCTTGGGGTCCTCTTATTTTCGGAAACTACTTATATCCTTTTGAGGTCAGCTTGAGGTAAGGTATGCTATAATTAAGGAAACCCAAGACCACCATGTTGGAAATTATTATTTGGCCCCTACATTATCTCAATCTCTTGGTGTTCCTGAATGCTCATGCCCTGCGTGCAGCGGTGATCCATGGCGGGGTATCCTGAAACACAGTTTATCTCTTGCTTGATCAATAATTAAACAAGGACAACTGCAGGTATTTTCTTTGCGGAGGTTTTTTAGGGCAGATGGAGTATTTCCTGAAATAGCAAGAGATCCAGACGGATAGTCGCAGCAGTGGAGATAGGAAAGCCAGGCAGTGTCAAAAAGATATGACAACTCTTGATTTGCATAGCAGCCTTCGAGTACCCGAACATACCGCAGCAGGTTTAGGGCTCTATGCATGTACCCGTGGTTGGAGCGCGTGTGTCATAGCCATCTGATGGCTGTTGCGGTTATCTTGAGAGCTTTCAGCAGAAAACCCTGGGCTGCTGAGCCATGCAATCTCCAGGAAAACGGAAGGTTCTTTGTCATCCTACACTCCCGAAATGATGCGGACCCCTACCAGGCGCGGGGCACTACAGTCTCTAAGCCTTGAACGTTAGTTCCGCAAGCCATAACCCCATCAAGACTGCAATCCCCACAGCCTATAACCCAGCTGCTTGATCCTGATGCGCTGAAAAAGCCAGACCGTGACCCTGAGCCATGGCGGCTGACAGCCGACTTTCTTTGGACGACTTCAGCTGTGCGAAACATGTTGCCTACTTCAAGCAGCATGCGAAGACCTTCGGCATGAGAAATTATGTAGAACATAATTCAGGGAGGAGGAGGATGTGGCGTGCCTCTCTTGTGGATAATTTTCTTAGCCTGAGCCAATGTTACCCTTAAGACTTGCCAATTTAGTTGACTCAAAGGAAATCAAGATCCTTCTTTGGGAATCATTGCGACAAGTGGCCATTCTTTAACGGGAGGTGGTTGAAGGCCTCGTCCACAAGGCAAGCTGTCCGACGAAGAGGAGTGGAGGGTACGCGCGAATTACATGGACTTGTAGGGCTCATCTGGAGGACAGGGCGGCTTCCATCCTCTTGCATGCAGCGTTCAGGATCTAGAAATTGCAGTTTCTCAAACGATCCTTAGAGAATCCCCAAACATCCCTTGAGCCCGTCAGCAAACCCCGCCTTGAACAACTCCCTAGATGAGGAAGCTGCCAGACGTGTACAAGTCGATGGACACCAACCGGCTGTGCCGGCCTTAGCCAGAACATGAGATGGGCACCTCTACCAAAAACAGCTGCCCTAAGTTGATCAAAAAACAAGGACCCTCATACTCCCCTTGCCCTTCATTTTAAGAAAATGGAGTTCCCCCAAGGTTTCCGCAGAAGATCCCAGTGATATTGAAGCTGGGTACAAGGTTAAAGGTGTAGGGCTGACAGCTCCACCGAAGTCCGGGGAGGCTAACGTTGAATCCGGAGTCCTATGGCCTATGGTAGATGGAAGTAGCTTGCACCACCTACAGCAGCCAAACCAATGCACTTCATATAGTATAAGATTAGAAAATACAAGATTTTTCCGATGGACGGAAGCAAGTTTGTCCCAAAATCTGACATTATTTGTTCCCATCCTGACCGGGAGTAATGATCCGGTCAACGTCTGAACCTCCAAAATACATGTGGCGATCCAGCCAACGTCTGAACTCCCAAAGAAGGGCTCCAAACTTTCGACCCCTTTTGGCAGTCCTCATAAGCAGTGCCACAGTGCTTTGGGGTGTACATTTGCGGCACCCTTTTCATGGAAAGCCCCATATATCTGGATGCCTGAAATGAACTCCGGGCTTTAGGAGTGGTATCTGTAGACATTCAGAAAATTGCAGCAAGGACTTTGCTTTATTTCAGCGTGTCGGGTCTGGACCTGCTGGGGAAGCTGGACGAACTGGATCGGGAGCAGACGATCGAGTGCCCATGAGTTTTAGAGTGTAAGGATAGGCCGTTGAAGGACCATCGTGGAATTTCCTTCTGGAAGCAGTAGATCGTCTAAACCAATTATGGATTACGCGCAGCTCTGGCAATTCTCGACAGCCCGATTGTTAGCACCAACAATTCGTGAATTTGGAATCATGTTGCTTGCATGGCAGGTTCAGGTGCTGGTTGAATCTTTGACGGACTTCTGAGATGTTATCACCCTTCAGGTGCTCGTAGCTGTAGACGTCCCATGCAGACGACGGAAAGCGCCCGTGTGATGGCGTCTGGGAGTTGCAGGGCGAAGCCAAAAACGAGCGGGGGGTAAGGGGGGGTGGGAGATTACGATATCGGATTTGCAGAAACTCGGGCCCCCATCTCAGCATCATCAGGAGTGTCCTGCGTTTTTTGGACAGCTTTCGGCCCCACACGCAGCTTGCATTGTTCAGAGCGCATTTTTAGCGGTGTTTACAGCGTTTTCCTGCGTTTTTCGAAGAGCATCAGCTGCTCCCCTTGGGCGGCCGACGGGCGTCTCGTACACACGTCTTGTCGCAGTCGTTTCGCACATCTTTCGGCGGTGCCCAGCCGGTCCAGCTGATGCTCATGATGCGCGCCCCCCGGGCCAGCATCATGAGCATCAGCTGCTCCCCTTCTTCTCTTGCGTCCCCCCCTTTTCAGCATTATCTGGAGTTTCCCACGTATTTGGAACAGCATTGGGCCCCAAACGGAGCCTGCATCGTTCAAAGCGCGATCTTAGCAGTATTTGCAGCGTTGTCTGTGTTTTTCTACTGTTTTCCGAGGCCCCGGAGCCAGCATCATGAGCATCAGCTGATCCCCTTGTGCGTCTCGTCGGAGTCGTTTCGCGCGTTTTTTCGGCCAGGGGACCAGCATCATGAGCATCAGCTGCTCCCCTTGGGTTGCCCCATGTGCTGCATGCCTGGCCCCGCACTTTCCGTTGTATCCAGCTGGTTTGCAGCGAATGTTTCTACGTAGAGGATTCTTGCTTCTGGCAGGATGTCCCAAACAGGGCTAAGGAACCATCAGCGTGTGAACCCCTGAATGCCCAAGTCCCGCGTGAGTCGTAGTCAACAAAGCCATAGTCATTAGGCTTGCTTATTTTGGTGTTACCACACAAGTTAGAAGCCCCATGAATGCTGGAAGGGGTATGATAGGATCTACTCCCTGACATTCTCACCTCATCCTCAAAGGCCCCAAGTCCTGAGTCCAGGATCTCATCCCTACTACAGACCTCAGATAGTTGGATGCCTTGAATCATTAGCCCTCATCCGACAATCAGGTACATCTACTCCTACCAGTCGCCTTTGCCTGACCACGGCGGCTTCTATGGCTGCCCCAGGGTATCCTTCGACACTCCGGAGCTGGACAAGTGCTTCTGGGCCCCAGAGAGTTGAGGGTGCTTGTGCTTTTAAGGCAGGATGCGAGGTGTGTGTCGTGGGGCATCAGGTCCAGGTGTAGGGGGTAGGCTTGAGAGGTCATAGGCTTTACTCGAGTCAGCAGCCTGTTGAGGGAATAAAGCTGGTGTGCAGCGCGTGTGGACATCAAGTTGAGAAGTTGGGACCAGCCCTTGTAGCCCTTACACGATATGTAGGTCCCACTATGGTGTAGGTGGTTCTGAAATGGAGGGTCAACTGTCCTTTCTAGGTGGTTTTCCTCTTGCATCCAGGGCGAATTCCACAGAATGACCTTACATCACAAGTGGAACAGCGCAGCCACCCTTGCTGCTTCAGTTTTCGGGCAGGACTAGGCTAGAGCCTATATGGGGCTTCCCAGAGTTAGGGGTACCTTTTGAGGGTGCGTTTAATAGGGATTGTAGCATTTGTGAGTGTATATTGGTGTCCCCCTAATTTGGAAAACCACCGTTTGAGCTACTGCAATTTTGGCGTTACCAAGGGACCATTCACTAGGGGTCCCCTTGGTATCTTACGATAGTCCGTATAAGAAATCCCTTAATAGACGCTCAGGTCCACTATAATCATGTGAGAAATACTGACTGTAGTTCGCGAGCCTGGCGCAAAGATTGCGAATGTAGTCTGGAAAGGTCCTTACCACTGCGGATGGGGGCATAAGAACCGCTTACTCATGGCAAAGTGCTCCGTTGCTTTCACCTGGAGATAGCAGAGGTAACAATCAGCCCCACATCGCGAACACCTACGTTGCGCTGGTCATGCTGCGCCTAAGCTCGCAAGAAAGAGCTTCCGTGAAAGCTTGGTTTCTTGTTTTAGCAAAGGCTGATGTCTCATCTCCTATTCGGTGCACGGCTTTGAGTTGAGGCTTAAAAGGTGGAGCTTGTTTCAGAAGACATGCTGAAGAAGCAAGCGAGGCTTGCGCCGATGTTCGGAAAACAAGCCTTTGGTAAGCTAGGAATGAAGGAATGGATCCTTAAAGTAGTCCCTATATAACCCCTTATAGTAGTTTCCATGTTTTTTTCCATTCCTTCCTTCCCAGCTAACCAGAGGTCAGAAAATTGAAGGGCTGAAGCTCGCACGGCCCAGACTTCCAGTCTAGCGAGATCTTCAACCGTCGCATGTCAACCTTGGATACACGTCCTTCGTGCTTTGGTTCGCTGAACGCGGACGAAGCGCTTTGCTTGGGTGAAAGATCTATCAACGGAAACTGCATTGAGGCTCCCAGAATCAGGTTCGAATTATTGCGCAACCAGACAAGGATGTCCCAGTCAGGCCCAAGAAACGATACCTAGCAGCCCACTTACCACAAGAATCTGTAAAATGTTAACCCCTTTTCTCAAAAACACCTCCCCATACAAGGATTCGGTATTCAGATTGTGCCCTCTTTTTTTGACCGTATGTGTGTTCCTCCTATTTCGGCTTACTATGAACATGAGAGGAATCAAAGGCTTTCCTAGCCAATCCTGCCGAAACGATAGTACTCAAGAGAGGATCTAAACCGAGGTTGCAGCCATTTCAGGGTCACCGTCCCCATCTTGCTCTGTCTTTGAAAGCATGGTATGAGCCTACTGCAATGTGCCTGCTCAACGCCGTCAACTCTGGATGTAGAGCTCTGGGCCCCACTGTATAGAACACCCATATGCCTCTGTACCCCATAAACCCCACAAAACAGTGCAAACATCCGTAGTCTGCAGGGAACAAGGGTTAGCACAGTCAAGGATAATACTTGGCGATGATCTTGGGCGAGTGCCTTATATGACATGGGAGTTTCTCTACATAATCCCTACAGGTTAAACAGGGCATGTGGGGGTTGCATAGGGTCAAGTACATGGATGACGCTGGGGCGTACGGGGTTCATAGACGGGTTACACGCCCCTGAAGAGAGAACAGCAAACTTTTCAGGGTCTCATGCTGTTTAAAGAAATCACCAAAAATGATGATTGTGACGGAGACTTGCCACTGCAAAAGGGGTATTTGGTTAGGGTATGGGTTCAGGGTTTTAGGGTTCTCCAGCCCCCTAGGTGGAGCTGCTGTAGGTGGCGATTTATTTCTTCTTGGAGGGAACCTTCCTCAGCCCGGTCATGCCTGCCTATTTTTTGTTTTGCTGTTTTTTTTGGGCGGGGGTGCGCTATAAGCGTACTAGGTTACTAGGTATACGACTTGGAAACTCACTCGGAAAGCAGTGCTCGCCCTAGTGCCAGACCAAGATGGCGCGCCTCGCGCAAGAAATATCCATTTTTGGAAAACTCGGACTGGGACATCCCATGATGTGGGCACAGTTTCGAAACTGTTGTAAGTGTAGCCCTGAACCCTATGACTCAACCCAATCCCAAACTTAAAGTCGCACCCCCCCCCCATTGGCGCCCACAACCCGAATCTCATAGCCTCCCGGGAGCACACCGAGAGAATCCAAAATAGATCCCCATACATCCCCAGGGTCCAAGAACCCCTCACTCGGGAAAAAACAACCATACGACTTGCTGAGGTTAACCGAAGCTCACTTGGACAGTCGCTGCGCAAATGGCAGCTGGAGGATGGTAGCTTTTGCCACTGGGTGATCATTGAGTATGGATGTTTTGTTGAAGGTATGCCTTCGAACGACCTTTGTTGGGGTCGCTGTCTCTTGAGGTTGCCGGGTTTCAGGCTTGTATTTCAGCTTGCAGAGTCCCGTTGCTGCTCACTTGTCATGGTTGCGGTGAGACAGATGGTGCCCTGTGACTCAGGACCCTGATGGGAGGATTTTAGATTTAGACTCTTTCTTCATATTTGCTACAGAGTCCAGGGGTCACGGGCTGCATGTAGGTGTGGGAAGACCTCCAGCTCCTCAAGTGTTCGGAACTGACGTCTTAAGGCGTATTTGACATAACTATGAGCCCCAGTCCATCGAAGTATTCAACAATTCAAGAAACCAACCGAGTACTTGGACCAGCACCCTCAAGCCCCTCCACCATCCCCTTGGGCCACCCGGTCACCTAAGCCACACCCCGGGCACCGTGCTCAACCAGCGAACTCAACTCCTTGAATCCCACCCTTGCGCCCCGCCTTAACTGCTAATGCCCAAGGCTGCGTGCACTGCATATCTAGCCTCGACAGCGAGAGCGACATCCGCTTCGTCTACTGCGCAGCCACGATCTGCCACCCTGAATGACTGACAGCTCTTATTGATGCTGCGAAGCTTTCGCTGTGATTCTGCTTAGAGTTTGTTGCTGCATCCGTGCTGTTCGCTTGCGTCTTAATCTCATCAGTATCATGATTGCCATGGATTGCGACGGGGGCTTGATGTTTTGGACAAGGACTTCGAAGAACCCTGAAACTTTTGAAATTTTGAAGCGGGCTGAAGCTGAATCACGTCCTGGGTCCTGCATCTACACATCAGAGGAAACATACTTGCTCTCTTGTGTTTGGAAATGTCATCCCGCACATTCTGCATCGGTATCACGAACTACTAAAGGTACCCTGTACCTTTCGGAAAAAAGATGAAGACCCTTAAAACTTGGCTCGCAAGCCCACGTGGAATAGCCGGACCCATGCCAGGGCTAGAGCCACCCCTAACCCCACGTTCCACCCCCCCATCTTGAGCCCTGGTTTAGTTTGAGGCTGCCACAAACAGTGGGTCCCAACAATGCAATTACAGTCTGCGGACTCCAAAAGAGGAACCCCTCGATTTTTGAAGCCCCCAATTTCGTTGGTAGAGCTACAGACCCTCAAGACCCTTGATGAACTCAACGGCAAGCCCCAGGCTACATCCTGGATCTATGGGATGCCATCGACATTGAGGCCGCCGCAGGATCCAATATTGTGGGCTTCTTTTCGCAGAGTCTCTTTTCAGGGTAGCTTTAGAGTTTAGAGGACGTTTACGTAGGGCTTGAGGCTCAGGATCCAGGGGCAGAATCCCAGGATTTCAAGTGGCCCCCAACTGTAAGATTTCCCCCAGGTAAGATTTACCCAGGGGGTTTGGTACGCAGTACTGCCACTAAGTGTATCACAGGCATCGATCAGCTCGTCAGCTCAGCTTCAGGTGATCTCTTGCGCTGCTCTCCGCGGGCATTTTCCAATTTCAGAGCCTGCCCTGGAAAAGCATCTCCCCTTCAGCCTCCTGCTTCACGCCTCTAGTTTCTTTCATGGTGTCTATAGCGGGAAGCGCAAGAAGATTGTGGGGCTTAAAAAGAGAGAACTGTGACCCCACCAGAACCTGGCACAGGCAATGACTCGCTTCATCTATGCTTCGCAGTCTTACGACGGCGCCTTCGGCATGGGCCCATCCACCGAGTCTCATGGAGGCTGACTTTCCTGCACATGGCTGGGGTTACTGGTCAGGCTGCATGTTTTGTATGTCAAGCAACACGTATGTCTAAATGGGTTGCTAAGCAGCTCAGCATGTGTTGGCCTCCAGAGTTTGGGCAGGGCTGTAAATGCGCTCTGAAGACCTCTAAAGACTTCGTAGCTCCATTGACATTTCTGAAGTTAGAGGTCGCCATATGACCCCCAAAATACCGGGACCCTGATCACAGGGATCCCTGAGACATCGTCGCATCGGCCAGGCTGCACTTACTGCGCGGTGGCGGCGCTGACCATGCTCGGACGCCTTGCAGACCTTCCGAGCAAGGACTTATGGCCGGAGCTTCAGCGCGGGAGCGTGGGTCTATGGTGAGCCGAGTGAGCTTCGTGGTTTTCTGCCACAACACATAGAGAACTCTGAGTACCCAATGTAAGGCATGTTCCAAGAGCAGCCTCAGCAGCTGACAGTCCAAACACCCTGAACTCTGAGCAAGGCACAGGCGGGCCCGAACCAGAATGAAAGAGGGTCACCCCATTGTTGGGGGTGCGCAGAAAGTTTCTGACTGATGCTAATTGTGTGTGTGTGCCTATCACCATCATCATGATGATCATCATCATCGTCATCATCATCTGTGAATGTACTCCCTGGGACCCAGCCCAGGAGCCCGATCCTGATAAACCCTATGGACCCTGAATGTGATGAACCCTGTTCTCTTAAAGATGGACCCTGTCCAGCCCCGTAGTTCCAAGGGAACCCTGCACCCAGTGCTCTCCCCTTTTATGGCCAAGCATATGCCGCAACCCTCCCTCCCCTTGCTGGAAGCGACATCAAGATGCACAAGTGAAGGCACCTGACGGGCATCCTGCAGGATTCGCACTGGTCTAAAAGACTTTGTTTTCAAAGTTCACTTGTGCTTCCTGCTGTCGCCCTTTTGGTCGAGATTGTTTGTTTGGCGTAGCCATTTCAATGATTGCCTGTGCTCTGCCCTGTCTACTAGAACCTCCTGCTCATCACATAGAGCATATCTACCGCTTGACAGTCGCTTGCGAAGCTCTGCACTGTCCATAACCTTAGTAAGGCAGTCTGCAAGCATTGCACGGCTATGCACCCACCGTAGCTTACAGTTTTCTTGTAAGCGTTCACGCAGTAAGAGACACTCCAATTGCGTCCTCAGCTCTGAGCAATTAGGGATCGCAGTCTTAGTTGGAATGTCAAAAGCACTCTTGCAATCAGTTACGAGTGAAGCTTGAGGAGCCCTTTGGAGGATTTCTTCAGGACTTGACAGATCTACAGACGGATCCTTGAGCCATTCCCAGAGTAGCCGTAGCCAGGACATCCGATCAATGGACCCACTTAGTGCTACAACCTCAGCACTCAGAGTGCTTCGGACCACTCTGGAAATCTTCTTGCTGCTCCACGCCACTGGAACGATGACCGCCCTTTCATTTGCCAACATTCTCCAGTCAGTAACTACGACCAGGGTCCCTTGATAGGAATTATTGTCCTTAGAAGTGGCGAATGAGGCGTCAGAGAAGGTGCAGAAAGTGACGTTCTGCTCCGTGATGGGAACTATCATCAACGATACCCGGTGTGCCTTCGTTTCTTGGAGTACCTTATTAGCTTCCAACAAATGCTGAACTTGCCCTTGATAAATACGGGTCTGGAGATAACCTACCTTCGCCGCTATATCCGGCCTAGTGTGCACAGCCGCGTATTGAAGACTGCCGTTGAGGCGGCGCAGTTCCTTCACTTCGTTGGCAGTGAGAGAAGCATTGGCTTGGAGTCTCCGCTCCCGAGGCACATGTATCGGCAAGATCTTCTCTACGTATGCAGATTGATCCATTTCAATGCTTCCATCCAGCCATTGCCGAAAATGAATGCCCGTGAAATTGAACTCCCCTTCCTCGTATGACCCAAAATTATAGATAGCCCGGAGCTCCTCGATGACCTTACTGAAGTAACTGTCTCCCCCGTCATCCACATGAATCCCCAGAACACCATGAACCTTTGGGGCACCATCTACTTTTGGGGTGATCAAACTGAACGTGCAGGCATCAAAGGGACATTGGATGAATCCCAGTCCCTCCAAGGTTTCCTTGAAGGTCTGGAACCAAAGGAACGGCGCGTCCACCCTTCCATAAGCTCCGCCCTCTAGCTGACACTGGTCCTGTCCCCGCATTCTAAGGGCTTCTTGAAGTTCAGGCGGCGGATGAATGCCCAACTTACGACCATCACCCTTCCCTTGGAGAAAGGCAGTGGCCACGTCGAAATTGATCAGCTTCCAGCGGTTGCTGGCAACTTTCTGAAGCAGCAGCTGTCTGGCGTCTTTGCCTAGCGTTGGGGCATCATTGGGTATTGAAGCCAGATCTGGATCCTCAAATCCTCAAACCACCAACCTAGCTTTCGCCCGCTTAGGACCCCCAACCTTCTCAGGATCCTTCCAGCTCAATATCCAGCGACACCTCATGAGCTGGCTGTCGTCCAGCGTGCCAGCTGCCACCTTTCTGACGGGGGCATGGTCCAACCACGCCCCTACTTCTTTCTGCTTTGCTTGCCGAAACTGCTCTTGCTCAGCTGGAGACAGATCCCGTAGTCTAACCTCTACCCTCTTCTTTCTATCCTGGGTAGCGGGCGTGACATAATGCAAAGCTTGTGAAGGCGAAGGCAAATTATTCGGCTCAATGTCTGTCTCATGGACGCCTATCTCCCATACCTGATTAGCTTCGGGGTGTACTAAGAAACACTCCGTATCCCCAAACAGTACGTCGTCATCGTCGTCTTCAGGTACAGGTATGTCTGCCGCATCCGGCATTTGGACATCAAGCAGGACCCTCGTGATCCGGCACTTCAGACACCGCAGGTGATGTCTCTTGCTCCGGTTGCTCCACAGTTGGTTCTACTACAACTGGCTCTGCTGGGGTGCGTGGAGGCTCCGGCTCAAGCAGGACATCAACTGCTGCGGGGACCGTCACAGGTGGAGGCCCTTCAGCCTCTACCTCTGCACGGGCCGGAAGTTCGCCTTGGACAGTCAAGTCAACTAACTGTCTCGGTTGCGCAGTGCCCTGCGCCACATCAGAAATGGCACGCCATTCTCGCATGGAGGCTGAACGCAGTTGTTCTGGGGCTGCTCTAATAAGCTGACCACAATGACTGACATAGACCACCCTGTTATCCCCACTTAGAACCTGACCTGGCCCATACCACCTACCCCTCTCGCCCCGGTGCCCCCACGCTGACGTCGCCAATATAGAACCCAATCTCCCGGTTCAAATTGAGTGACACGTGGCCGAGACCTTCTCAAGAGAGCTCTTCGGTAAGAACAGTCATTATCAGCATGCACAAACGCCACTCGGGCTTGCTCTCGCCTCTGGAGGTCCCGCCGAAAGGCCACCCCTTCGGGCAGATCGGAATCTGCTAGTGCGTGCGTGGCTGCATTGTCGTCTGAAATTATAGACCGTGGGACCCTACTCATTTTACCCAGTACCGCATGTTCCGGGGTATATCCCTTCACACGACTTAATGCATTCTTGGCACGGACAGCTTCTCGCAGGCAGCGCTTGAAATCCTCTGGACCTTCAATCATCTCCTGACTATCCATGCGAGTTAACATGGATTTCAGCAGACTGCCATGCTTTTCAGTCCTACCTAGCTGCCAGTGGGCTTCACCAGCAGACACATTAGCCCGGACGCCCTCTCTCTGTAACTGCAACCTCCAAAAGTCACTGTTATATTCCCCTGCAGGGTCAATGTACAAGACTTTACACGGGCCCGTCCACTGGAACCATGTGTCTGCAAGCACGGAAAACTGCTCTTCTGGTGTCCGCCCTGCTGCTACCGCTTGCTGAAACAAGGTCGCCTCATCCACAACATGCGTGAAAAGATACTGCTGCCTTGCCCTGCCAGTCCAGTAGGCTACATCCATACCTACGACATCCCCAAAATCTCCATCAAAATGAATGCTCGCTGGACGCGAGGGTTTGACTGACGGCACTGTCTCCAGGCAGGTGGCGCAGCAGTAATCTCGCGCACCACGAATGAGAGCCGGCTCGGATTTCCGCTCCTGCAAGAACTTCACAAACACCTCCACAGCCGGATGGCCTAGATTGTGATGCAGACGGGACAGCTCCATTTTCTGCTCCTTGTCTAGCTCTAAGCACTATACCTGGAGGTGCCCTTGGGGTCCCCTCTACTTCCGGTCCCATCTGCATCTCAATCTGCTCATGCTCCGCGGGTGACGGCGCTGCTACACTGTGCTCAGGTCTCTGCGGCTCAGCTTCACTCGGCTGTGCAACATGTGCTGCACGAATTCCTGGCGCCTCCTGATGTGGACTTGGTTCCTGGGGTCCCCGTAATATTGGCCTACTCCCGCACACCGTTAATGCAACCCTAGCTGGAACACGTTCGAACCCCGCTTATACTTAGGTATTCGGGACCAGTCCTCAGGAGTTTTATCGGCAACAATCTCGCCTCCAGCTCTCTTGATTACAACAGTGTACCGCAGTGGCACTTCCTTGGGCATGGTTTCGGTAAGTGCTGGCTGAACACGATTCACTCCACGACAGAAAACCGCATGCTTGACTATCATGTCCGGCAGCAATGCTTGAATGGCAGTCACCACTTCCTCCCCTTCCTGTACATATACCCGGCCCTTGGGGGGAACCCTCTCATTTACCATCTGAAATATCTTAACCCAGGGGTTCTCAATAGGTTCGGGAGGCTTTTGTGGTGGCGGCTGTTTTCCAAGCAATCGCCGACGCTTCAACACTTGCTGAGCAGTCGAAAGGTCAGAGTCGGATCCCTCCCTTTTATGTTCACCAACAAGTAACTCTTCTAAAACTAGGGGCATCCCGGCTTTACCCTTGAGGCACTTAGCTACGCCGTCCGCAAATCTAGTGCACGGATGTGAACGTGGCACTGTCGGCTGCTTGCCGTTTGCTGTGTGTTGTGTGGCATGCTTCCTGCTGTGGCTGGCTGAGTGGATGCGAGTGTCCAGTGCTTGTTGGATTGCCCGGGATGTGGTATATACCACGGTCTTCTTGTTGAGGTAATTGTTGCGCGAGGGAACCGCATTCTTGCCCAGCTCCGATGGATTGTGGACCAGACACAGCATCCCTTGCTGAACCTCTGCCAAACGATCTGCGCTGGAGTCAAAGATTCCTGACCCACCTGCAATATGGAGATGTCGTCCCCTCTCTACTTGGTGATAAAACAACTCTCGCAGCAGATCTTCTGGCCAAAATGGTTCTGGCTTCCTGCCCTGATGCGTCTCCTTGCCTGGCATTTTGCCACTCCCCTTCTCAGCCAGCGACTTGCGAGCTGCATCTTTCGCCTTTTCAGGCGTCCTGGTTAGCATTAACAATCGGCGTGCAAAGGCGGCTGCAAATGCTGTCTTAGGCTTCACCTCTGGCGAGACTGTCAGACACACATGCGTGAACCCTTTAATTATGTCCCGCTTTGACCCTGCGACCTTTCTGTCCTCTTCAAAGTCGTCGTCCTCATGGAAGTAGATCGCATCCTCGGGGATCTGGGACGTGACCTCGGGCAGGTACGGGTTGCTCTCTTCGGCCTGGGTGTAGTTCGTGGTCTCGCTCTTCTCATCCCTCCGGGGACATTCCCTTTTCCAATGTCCCCGCGCCCCGCATATTCTGCAGTGTCTGCAAGCGACTTCCTGCGGAAGCCCTCCCCAAAGCCTTGCTTGCCCTTCTTCTGCGTGAGCATCTTGGAGCCTTTGCCTTTGGGACGGAAAAAGCCACGAGCCTTCGCTTTGTCCCGCAGACGTTGTCGAGCTTCGAGATACGAAGTGAAAACCGGCGCCAGGCTGGATTCCTGGACGGCCTCCACGATGCTGTCCTCGAATTCCGTGATGTGCACCGCGTCTTCGTCCTGCTGTTCCAAGAACATCATAAGGATGTCCTCGTCGTGCTCCTCGTCTTCCGCAACGAAGACTTCGTCGCCAGGCTCTTCCTCCATGGCGGCGTGCACGTCGTACACCTTGGAACGCTCCGCCCCTTTGCTGCTTGAACCACGTTGCTGAAAGTCCGTGAAGAACTTCGAGCCCAAGAGCGTGACTGACTTGACTGTGTCCTGGTACTTCAAGTCACCCTTGGCCTCAACCACGACTCTCTTCTTATCCTCAGGGTTCAGCTGGGAGTGACGTAGAAGGATGTAGGCCCGGATTTCTTCCAGACTCACCTTCCGCGACAACAGTTCTTCGAATGCTGCATCATGACGGGAGATGTAGGAGTCGTTACTCTCGTCAGCTTTTTGGGACACCTGAAACATAGCTTGCTCAAAGAAGTGGTACTTCTCCTCGACCGCCGTCTTTCCCCAGGATCCTCCTAGGGTCTCGACTAGAAGTTGCACTCCATCAGCAGACCGCAGTTTCTCCGGCGAGATTCGGCTTATCTTGTGAAAGGCTGCCCCTTCAACCAGAAGCGCCGCACGAGGCGCCAGATGCTGCAGGTGTTCTGTCGGCCAAAGTTCCTTCAAGAACTTGAGACGTTGAGTGTACTCATCCACATTCGTGGTCCCCGGTGTGAACTTCGGGACCTGTTGCCAGGGAAGATGAGCCAGACCTCCGGATGGTGGTCCTTCTGTTTCGGTCGCCATGGCTCCACTTTCCCAGCTGTACACAGCTTCCCCTCTTATTCAGGATCCTTTCCCCAGGACTCTGAATCCCCCGTTTACACTAGAACCCCTAGTGACCCTAGTGACGGACCGGGCTCCGCTACCAATGTGAATGTACTCCCTAGGACCCAGCCTAGGAGCCCGATCCTGATAAACCCTATGGACCCTGAATGTGATGAACCCTGTTCTCTTAAAGATGGACCCTGTCCAGCCCCGTAGTTCCAAGGGAACCCTGCACCCAGTGCTCTCCCCTTTTATGGCCAAGCATATGCCGCAACCCTCCCTCCCCTTGCTGGAAGCGGCATCAAAATGCACAAGTGAAGGCACCTGACGGGCATCCTGCAGGATTCACAATCATCATCATCATCATCATTGGAATGGGTTGTAATAGCTGGGCCACGGTTGTTCTGGGAGCTTGGCCGTCAATATGATCTATAGTCCAAACTCCGCAAAGGGGTGGGGTTACATAGGGATTCTATAGGGGAGCATTTTTGGGGTTATTAAGGGGTATACTCGGACTTTAGACTATCGCTCATATGAACCTGATGACCGTTTGGTATGCATGAAGGACCTGCTGGTGGACTGGTGCCACAATTGCACCAAGAGGGCTTGGGGATGGTCAAGCTTCATACAAGGACGAGATGTGATTCATTCTGTATAGTTTAGGTGGACCCCCCACCCAGTAATAGTGACTATAAGGGATAATATGGATTATTCTAGGGTCCTCTTATATTCCTATGATACCACTATTATAGGGAGGGGGGTCCTCCTAATGTAATGACCCACAGAAGGAATGCCACCATGCTTGCCAGGTGCAGGTTTGTAATAGGACTCCGGGTATGCAGGGGTTGTTTTGGGGGACTGCTCTCAAGTAGACCACGGGAGCATGACACATGAAGAGAGCAAAGGACTTCATGTAAAGGACTTTTTTGAATTACAGTTCAGTGCTATGTAGAGTTTTGCACTAAGCAGACTGTCTGCAATCCTTTGGAAACATGACTGGCCCAAATGTTCTCGCCTCCTTGGCACATTGCCCTAAGGGCTTCAGTTGATCAGGCCATGTCATGACCTCATCACAGTATTCCTTATAATTATAGCTATGGTGCCACTATATTGTTACTTCATTGCTACCAGATTCTTACTATATCCTTACATTATTCTGACTATATAACTATGATTCGTCGGATTTCACGTCAGGGGTCTACAGAGTTGAGCCCAGCGTCAGTATGTACTCTCCGGCTTGGGCTTCCAGCAACAGTGCACTGAAAGTTTCCCGAGAATGATTTGGGATTTCTGTTCCCTAAACCCTAAACCCTAAACCCTAAACCTAAGTGTAGCCAGCTGAGATGATATTTCCTACCAGGGGGTTCAGGGAACTTAGATCCCACCGCGTGGGTCTGTTAACAGCTCCCGGATCTTGGCAGCTTTTACAAGAAGCAGCAACCTGCCCTGAATCCTGACCTCACGGACTTCAGCCAAGATTGCGCCAGAAACGCAGCCGGCATGCTGCAAGTCCAATGAACTTGATGGCCTGGCAACTGCTATTACACAGTTTCCACAGACAGTATTATTTTCTTTATTATCATTAGTACTATTATTGATAATATTACCAATTTTGCCAATATTATCAACATTGAGGATGCGGCCTTCACTGAGAGTTTCCTTTGTAGTTCCGAGAAGTGGTCGCAGGGATCACTACCATGGGCCAAATCTGCGCGGGGTTTATCTAAGGATCGAAATCAATTTCTGTGCACATGGCAACGAGGTCAGGGGTTGAACTAGACTAGCCGAGCCCTTGAGTGAGTTGAAGGGGGGTGTACCAAAGGTTGACTTAAGTTTGCTAGGGTTACTTGGATATGCGATGGATCGCCCCGTGGTAGCAGTTGGAGAGTGAGGCAACAAAAGCAAAAGCAAAAGATCCCAGAATCCTGACATCAATCCTGGCAGTAGCCGCAGCAATCCATCCTTAACAGACCCTACAGCAGGTGAAGTGCAGCTTGCAACCTTTATTGCATACTATTGCTATGAGCAAGTGGCACGCGCTACTAGAACGATTCTTACCTGTCTCTTACAAGTATTCCTTTCCTTAGCTCAGAACCTTGATAGTTACTGCCCTCAAAGCTACTGACGTTCGCTGTGCTAATACCAGGCGTCCTACACTCCAAAGTCCTGAGCCTGAAGCCCTACCCGTGACCTGAACTTAGTGGTAATTCTACACCTGATGAATTCGTATAGTCCGCAAAACTTTATGTAATTTGGGGGGTTCTAATAGGAGTGCCCATAATCCTAAACCCCAAACCCCAAAGATCTTATTTGGGGCTTCATATTAGGTTCCCGCCGCTTCTGGAATCCCATGTTGGAGTTGAGAAGGCGAACTCTGTTCACTGACGAACCCCAAGCCCTACATATCCCTCTATAAGCCCATGCACCCCTGTATATCCTATATACTCTTATATACTTCTACGTACCCTTAAAGACTAAAGACCGCTGCATCCCTAAGCCTCAAATCCTAAACCCTGAGCCTAAAACCCTCAACCTTTGAACATAAACCTTAAACCTGCAAACCTAAACCCTGAACCCTAAGCCTTCAACCCTAAATCTTAAACCTTAAACCCCAAACCCTGTTCAGGTGTGTGCGGAGGCAGGTTTCGGGCTTCCAGGGCCGAATCTCCAAGGACGCAGACAGCTGCTCGAACATCCCAGCATCCCTTGTGGTCACAATCAGTGATGGGGGTTTTCCAAATTAGGGGTGTCTCCAAATTAGTCAGGACCATAGTAGTTGAGGGCCCATATTGGGCTCCCCTATTTGTGGAAACTACCAATGGGGCTAACCTGAACTAACTCGAAGCTGCAGGGGTGCTATCCCTCTGGACCCCACAACCTAGATCCCGAAGCCCGAAAGCCAAATGGTGCATTTTTTGAGGATATGCTCTTTCAGCCCTAAACTCCTACATCCTGAGCCCCTCAACCCCTAAACCCTAAACCCTAAAACCCAAATCCGAAACCCTAAACTCTAAATCCTAAACCCTAAACCCTAAACCCTAACTCCTAAGTCCTAAACCCTAAACCCTTAAACCCCTCCAGCAAGGCTGCTACTCCTTCTGGGTCGGGGGCTCCCTGCAGCTCCTGGGGGCCAGTCACTTCCTCGAGCCTGCGGAGTGCCTACAGCTCTTAGGTTACATTGGGACTATATTAGGGATTGTATGAGGGATTATAGCAGGGATTGTATGAGGGAGTATATTAGGGATTATCTTAGGGGTTATATTAGGGTTTTTTTTAGGGATTATGTTAGGGGTTATGTCAGGGGTTTTGTTAGGGGTTATATAGTAGGGGTTACATTAGGGGTTATGTTAGGGATTATGTTAGGGGTTATATTAGGGTTACACTAGGCTGTTTTTAAGCTCCTAAAGTGCTGACCTAAGGTTCGTGTTTCTTGTTCAGGCTGTAGGGCCGAGGGCTCAGCGCGGTTTTGGGTTGCAAGTGATAGGGGCTGGAGACTGTGTTCTTTCTGTAGTCTTTCGGTGGAAAGGATTCATGTTGGGGTTCAAGGGGCTTATACCCTCCCGGAAACTAACATGGAAACCCAAAAAGGGCCCTTTAAAGACTACAGTCCCTTTAAAATGGGGCTATATGGGTTTCCATGTTAGTTTCGGGGAGTGTATGGTGTGGGGTCTGTTCCAGTGGGACCTTGCTGCGAAGAAGAGGATGCTTCGGGTTTTGCTTCGGTTGCTACCAACGAAATGGGGGTTTCCCAAAATTAGGGGTACCCTTTTGGGGGTCCCAATGATAAGGATTATAGTGTTTTGGGGTCTATATTTGGGTGCCCCTATTTTGGGAAATTACCAAATCTCAGAGGCTACAAACACTGTCAACATCCATTGGTGAAGAGATTGCTGGCGATCTACATGTAGGGTGTAGGTCAGCATACCCTCGATCTTGAACTCATGACCTACTATCCCCGCTGGAAGGCAGGTTAAGAAATCAGCTACTTGTCGGCTCATGGGTAGTTATTTGCAGGGTTCTGAGCCCCCTAGTAGTACCATTCTTCGCATAGCCCGCGTTTTCTTGGACCCTTCAAGTCGGCTCAAGTTGCGAGATTGCGTAACTATTGGGGCCTTCAACATGACCTGAGACGAGCCAAATATGCTCCCATGGGTTTAGGGTTTAGAGTTTAGGGTTTAGGGTTGGTGTTTCACCCACAACCTTGTAACCTTGGAGCCTCGATCCAGACCAACCCCCAAAATATCTAATATAGGCCCATGATAAATAGACCCCATCCTCTTAAGGGCCTTAATATTAGGATCCCTATCATAATCCCTGTTAAGGGGAGGGGGATTATTAATAAGGGGTCTGGGTTAGCCAGATCTCCTTCCTCAAGCCCGAGCCAGCTCCGTTCCGAAACCCCAAGCCCTTCCCTACATCATTCATTTCTAATCCTTATTAGGGACCCTCGCAATGGTACCAATGGGACCCCTATTTTTGGGAAACTTGCATGTGAACTGAGATCATTATACCCGTCCCTGACTGCTTCTCACTTGAGGTTCCTGAAGCGATGTGAGTCGCAGCGCTGCTTGAGTTGAACCATACTTATGATGTCACTAAGGGTTCCGTCAATGCTACACACCATATACCAGCTTGCTTACCGTTGTTGCGCGAGTACCTGCTTAAAGCGTATTATGTGGGAGTTTAGCGTTCAACCCTTCAGGGTAGGTGGCTTGCGGAAATTCATCAGGTGTCCCTTTGATCCTTGTAGCGTTCCTGCCAGCAGCTCAGGATTATGTTTTAGACGTCTCAAGTGTTTAAGAGACTTCATTGACATACCCCTTCAGCTCATAATCCAACAAGCCGGAGTGAAGCTGGCAACCCACGGCTTGCAACCCTGCTCGTATTCTATCACTCTCACTCATGCATTGCACCTCCACAGCTTTCAACGGCTGAGTGCTGTAGAAGCTTCCAGAAAGCCAGGAGTTAAAGAAAGCCCC